TTACCTTATACACTGTTAAAAATGAGTGTAATTAAAAACTAAAAGCAATGTTAATTAACTGTAAACTTTAAATAGCTAGCGTTTTTAAAATGTATTACAACAAACTAAAAGATATGGTGGCTGATTGGCATCATGTCGTGATGTCGTGGTGTCGCTCTTCATAAGGCGACAACCCGACATCACGACAATTATGGTGTAATAATTAAAATTGAAGTGCAATTTACAAAACATCCTTGATGGGTAATGCTTAATCTACACCCACGGGTGTTAACTATTTAACTGTAACATTACACTGGCTGAGTGCAACACTCTTCCGGATGTGGTGTATCAGGCAGGTTACACTACTGGAAGTGGCAACTAGTTTCCACCTGAATTGGTGTAATGTTCTACACTAGCAAGTTGGGTGTTATCAGTTTACACCACTAAAGGCTAGAAGTCACCCCAATGTATGTGGCAACTAGTTTCCACCCGAATGGGTGTAAACTACATTATTATTTTCAACAGTGTAGTATACTATCGTGTTAATTTATGATGTGTGGATAATAAGATACTGTTTGACCTTTAAAACCGGTTCAGCCTCATTTTGTGGGTCAGCTACTATTATAAAGTTTCACATCTTAGAATGAAAAAAGAAAGGAAATACGCCAACTATGTGCCGAAAACAGTTTTCGGAAAGGATCCTTTATACCTTCAAGAAATCCAATTATCTCGCTAATGTCGTGTCGTGTACTGTGAAACATCTGATAACACCTCTGCTCTGAAGTGTTGACAAATTGTTGTACTTTGTTTTACCATACATTACACTTCATATGTATATGTTGACCACTTTTTCATTTACCAAGACGTGTGACGCTGTCAAACTAAGTTGTCGACCATCTATCCAAGTCATGAGATCGCTCCCAGGTTTCTACGCGAAGAGGTCCTTGTGTGTGCGTATAGGAATTATCGAAATGAAAATATACTATGTTTGTCCCATAATCATTTGATTACTGCTGAGTGGCCATTAAACTCATTTTCCCGCTCCCTGCGTTATAAGATTCAAGATATACACACGTTAAACGCCTACATATTCTAGATATGTAGTGAACCCCTCTATAAACAATGACTTTGCCATTTTTCTCATGAAATTTATAACTCTTGCCATCTGACATATGTTCAACATCTGTCTTCAAAAGGCATTCATTTTGAAAGTTTGAATTCAAACATTGATAGACAACGTGACAAACGCATACAAAATTAATTCTTTTGGCGGTGATTTAGCCAAAATACTTAATAAATGATGAAAGTGCGTGCAAATGTTTTGGATACAATATTTTAGACGACAGGCGGATTATACCATTGATTCTCCTCGCGATTGGTATTCATTAAACACAGAAGCAGACCATGTATTGTGTTCATGTATCGTTTGATTTGTCTGCGGTTTGTTTTGCAGTTCTCCCGAATTGTTTAATTATGTAGTCAATCTTACATCATCCCGCCTTCCTTTAACCGCCTCAATGTCAAGGAGTACGTTATTACGATTCGGTGAGGAATGTTTGAAAGTTGTATAGCGAAGTTTATACGACCTTACACTGATGTAAATAACTATACCACATTGTTCAAATATTCAAATACTCAGCTGTTATTTGAGGAAATCTCAGACTTAAAGATGCAGTTCCGCCCCCGTCATTAAACAAATATACAAAGAGTCAGTTGTGACTGAGTAATTAAAAATCAAACTATAATTTGGCCATCCTTATGACCCGGATTTAGTAACAGCATAAAGGATTAACAAAGTTTTTAACAATAACAAAAACAGAGAGGCAAAAGGGGAACACGGGATCGTCTCCTCTATTTCCAGATGTGGATTTGGCGGGGGTGTCGTCCAATATTGATATTTTGATAATTTGTGCACTTCGGATCTCCTATTCAACCTTGGAGTCATATTTCACTTGAAACATGAAGTTTTTTTACAATGATTTTTTTTTCTGGATTATCTATTCTACTGTATAAGATATTCATTATTCACATTGTATGATTCAGGGTCAACATATGAATATTGTTGACATTGCATATGATTTTTTTTTTCAAATTTGCCTTTTTGACCTAAATTCACTACCTTTCCCCAATGTAGCAATCGGATCCAATAACTTCAGGATTTGTTGGGATTTTTGTTTTGTTTTTTATATACCTTGATGCCAATGCTGTATTATTTTCTAGAACTTTGTAGTGCAATAGTACAACAACAATTTGTTAGCTATGTATATAAACTTTGCAAATGGTATACAATATCCCAGAAAGCTTAAGCATGCCCTGCTTCGTGGATGGCACATATCTCAATATATAAAGTGGTTGTTTAGATCTAACTGTATTTTATTCGTGTACGATCGACATGGAACTTGGGCAATTGTGCATCGATTGACGAACCTCCATTTTTTATATGACGTAACATTTCCAAGATGGCTGCGGTGACTTCATGTTGGGTTCCTTGTCAAAAGTAAGCTCGCACTTGCTTTCTTGATGCTGCTATTCCGCCTAAGAGATAAGAAATAGGGGTGTGCTGAGATTATCAAATGGATGATATACACTTTGGTGTAAATGTTTTTCTCTTCGTGGGTGGTCGAGTCCTCTATCGCGCTTTAAATCCTAAGATCTGTCATTGGGTCAAGTGCCGTTGTTCCGATCCCAAGGGGGGGGGGGGGGGTGGATGGCCGAATGGTTAGCACGTGCGCGCTGCGCTGTATCATACGGTCTGTCATTGAGTCAACTGGCGGGGTTTCGATTCCCCGGTTGTACGTGACAAGGAGTAGAGTCGCCTGTTCAACCTCGTGGGTTTTCTCCGGGTCCTCCGGTTTCCTACCACTGCTAAAGACCCCTACGCGCAAGCGAATTATTGAAATAAAATTGAACCATGTGTTAGTCCCCAAATGACCTAGTTTGTGTCGAGTGGACGTAAAACCCTATTTCTCTATCTCTCCGATCCCAAGTTTTCATGTGGCAAGGAGTGGGGTTGCCGGCCAAACACCGTGGGTCTTCGGGGAACCCCTGATTTAAGATGCGCCTCCAACCCCACCCCCTTCCACGCAGAAACATATTCTTTTGAAATCAGACCTTCGCACCTTTTCGCAAGGCATGAATGAACTGCAAATTACAACAAATAACGAAACCGCATGACAACTAAGTGACTGCTAAACGTCAATGATATGCTAGACTTTATAACATAAAAAAATATAAACAAAACAAAGCCACAAAGATAAACAAGATCATATGACAACAAATGTACTGCTAAACCTTGATGATAGCCAAACGTACCATCCCAGACGTAAACAAAGCAATACCATAGACATAAACAGACAAAACTACAGATACAAAACAAACCATACCAAACCAAAAACACAAATAAAATGATTTTAATAAACACACCAATGCCAAATCAAGAGCAGTTAATGGGAAAGTATATTGACTTTCTGTCGACACTTTACGCTTCATAGTTTCTGTCGGATATCTTATGATATTGTACAATATTCATTCCAGAATTTAAGTATGCTCTCGGTGCTTGCTACATACAGTTTTAAATTATAACGTTTAGATGGGTATGTTTTAATTCTTGATTTAAGACACACAATAAAAATGAAGTGACATGAAATGGGGTTTAACGTCCTACTGTTCTGCTCCGAGCTGAGCTAATGAAGACGGGGCACTCAATAGAGGGGGCACTATTGTTTAATTTTGATGGAGCAGTTTTTGATCATCTAAGAATAAACTTGGTGAAATAGTTTTAAGTTTTGTTCATCGATATAGTCAGTGTTCACATCAATCAAATTCATTGAGCGTGATATCCAATAACCAGGCTAAATGGAATTTGTAAAGTTTGATAATGATAAACATGTCAAAATTCATTCTTTCTATCTCGGTGTTATATTCTTAAAGAATTTTGTAAAGCTTAATTGCAAATCCCGGAGCTTATGAACGTGACATAAGTGAGAACTGCCAGCTCTTTATTTAGCTAATCTTCCATAATGTATATTTAATTAGTAATTAGATTACTAGTTTAAAAACAGCCTGAACAAAGACCAAAATATACAATATCTGTGTTACGCACATCAGTATTCTAAATTGGTATAGATTACTAGTCTAAAACAAGCCTAAACATAGATCAAAATATAAAAGATCTGTGTTACGTGTATCAGTATTCTTAATTAGTATATATATATATTACTAGTCTAAAACTACGCTAGTATTCTATCTTGAAATGTACTAAAATATATTGGTCTAAAACAGCGTAAACATAGTCCAAATTGATGTTAAATAAAATAAGAAATGAAATTTCTGTGTTAGAATTCATAAACCAGTGCCAAAATTTCATAAATTCAAATTTTGAATAACAACATTTTCTGATCATGGTTGGAGACCCTGAAACACATTTAATTTTTAAAACATGCTTGAACGCCTCGGTATGGTATGACGGCATAACTGCACAGCTGTTCAATGTGAAATGGACGGTTGAAAATCAAACGGATTAACCGCGTAAATAACATGTACAAATTTGAAACTAACCCGAAACGAAATTTCAAATGAGTTAATTGTATTTAAAAAAAACAAAGACTACGAATCTATAGACTCATTATAATTACTTTATGCTATACTTAAATTAAATTTGATCAGATACGAATATTTACAGAGGATCAGTTTAATAAATATTTTATTCACTTCAGTAGATACAACTATAACTATATATACGCATGGCAAACATGTGCCTCACCTACATCATATGAAATATCTTTCAGATTACCCATTCGCTTGAATTGATTAAAAAAGCCCCATTCAAATATATACATTTGAAAAAAAAATACATTGATGCTGCGAAATGAATTTGAATATAAATACAATAATACTCATTTCTTACTAATGGTCTTAATAATTTACCAATTAAAAGTTAAATCCTAACCATAATATATTCAACAGCGTATATAATACCTGTTTAAAGAATAAGAAATAGATAAGTTGATATCCTTCCTTACCTGATGCACATCAATTACATCCACCTAAGCAAAGTACACACAATATAGTAAAGGGGAACGGTGTAACAAAAGAGATGCGTATGCTCTAACCACGTGCTTTGTTTACACACCAAATACATATATAGACTTATATAAGATGAAGCGTACACGATGGAATGACTAAACAGTTAAAGAGACACACCCAGTCAAACTGAAGGTCTCCTGTGGTATTTCCTTCGTATACATGTTATTGACAGTACTATTGTATTATCGTGAATTTTCACGACCCGGTTGTTTATATTATTTTTTCCTTTTCAAAATTCGAAACATACACTGGCCCATTACCATATTCTAGACACACCATGTTATTCAATGAAATCATGGACACATTACAAATCACAACAATAACCTATAAAATCTAAAAAATGTTAATTATATAAAATGTATTTTAAAAAAGTTGATTCTGCCTCTCACACGCCCCTTTCATTTATTAAATATTTAAATATTTACACAAAAGTGATTATATCACATAATATAATTTCTACAGAAATGTCGAGTCAAATATAATTTCAGTTTCTTTAATTATTGTTCTTTTTGTTATTATTTATATTTGTTTTTATTTTTTTGTTTTTTGACAATTAAGCAATGTTGGAGACATCAACTACATATTTTCAATACTTACAAATTGAAAGCATAAGTATATTTATCTTGTAAGGTGGGCCACTTTGAGTTTGTTTGGTTAGCTTCGGGTCACATCGCACTCTCGTATATATACAGAAACATAATTAAAGCGCACCTTAAGATTATAACTGGTTTGTCGAGCCTGGCGGTATCGTATTATAACTTTAATACGATGTATATCAAAGTACATTTTTAACTGGTTATCATTTGAATATCTAGAGACAAGGATTTACTTTGAAGTAAGTTATGACATATACATTTGACATCTACCGTTCACAAACTTTACATATTAAAGACGCGTTCCTTCGATTGTAATTAGATCATCTATTCGCAATTAGATCATCTAATAAATGGGTAGTTAGGGTAGCTATTTGGGTATGATGCGGCTAATTAACAAGGAGGTCATGAGTTCAACCCCGAAAAAGTTGGTCGATCCCCTATTGTCGGTAATACAGAAGCAGGACCGAAGGCCTCAATTGAAATTAAAAAAAAACATTTAGTTGTCCGGATAGGACTGAAAGCCGAGGTGCCGTGTACATATTGGCGTGCACTTAAAGGAACCCTTTACCATAGTGTCGCTGTCCAGGCAAAATAACACACTGTATGGTGTATGCACGTGTTCATTAGCCCAGTCGGTGCAGAGAAGTGCGATGTTAAACCCGATGATAGTTCATGTCATTGTTATGTTAGTGACATTCTATTTCAATTCAGAGGTAATGTTTTCGTGGTTATAGGTATAAACAGTGATGCAGGACGGAGGGCCTGACAAGGACAGCTGTCTAGTCGTTCGGATGGGACGAAAAACCGAGGTCCCGTGTACACATTGACAGTTGGAATTCGATATAAGAGTGGGGCGTAGTGTTGCTGTCCGGGCAAAATTTCCCTCATAGCACACTGTATGGCTTATGCCCGTCTTCATTAGCCCAGTTCGGAGCAGAACAGTAGGATGTTAAACCCCAGTTCATTTCATTTTTATAGGTATAAAATCAGTTGCAACATTTTATTTCTATTCAGAGGTAAGGTTTTCATGGTTATAGGCATAAAATCAATTCCTTGATGCAGTTTATGTCGTACGAACAGATTATCACATTACCGAGTTTATTATATATATTTTAAAACTTATTCCGATGGAAAGGCGATGCTAATTTACGTCATTAAATAGAATATGTTTGTGGTCTTTATCGTGATAGGAAACAGATTGTCATTAAATTTCACTATCTCGATTTCATACTAATATATATCTACAGTTCACCCCCCCCCCCCCACACACACACACACAGCTTACGTATGACCATGTTGTTGATTCCAAATCGAAGAAATAGACAATTTTTCCTTATTTTTTTCTCCCCTTTTCCTGCATTTTTGGTTGACCTTTTGGTCTAGAATTAGAGAGAAGGGAACAGATATTTAATTTGCAATTTCATAGCAGTTTTAGGTAATAACGCTCACTCGATACAGACTAGATCATTTCGGGACTAACATATGGTTCAATTTTATTTTAATAATTCGCTTGCGCGAAGGTGTTTTTGGCAGAGGCGGGGGGGGGGGGGGCGGAGAACCCTGATAAGGAGAGTGCCAAATGTGGTCCCATTTGTGCCTATAAAGATTGGAACCAACGGAATGTTGTGCTAAAAGCTAGTCTTTGATGTTACAGCCATTTAACATTGAAGTCTAGAATTGGAGAAAAGGATCATATCTGCAATGTCATACCAGTTTTGGGTAATACTGATGATATAATAGCGGAGACATAGCGGGTGTAAAGTGTCTTTGTGGAGAGCAATCATTACGTTGGAGGTGATATTTTGACCCAAGTTAACATCAAATCCTCCAAGCAAAAAGTCTAAACGGTCAATCTCCTACAAAATTATGATGAGGATAGTGCCGAATGCGGTCTATGTGCATATAAAGATTGGAATTTACGGAATATTCAGCAAACAGCTACTGTCTGTGATGTCAATGTGCAAATAATTGCTAGTCTGGCCACAACTCACCAAATATTCCTACGCCGTCCGAATGTAGGGCAAAAGTTATTTTTAGTCTTTCCTTCGATCTCCCTTTCCCTTTCCCCCCTTTTGCATGGCGATCTTAGTTGACTTTTTGGTGTAGAATCGAAGAACCGGGTTTGAAAATACATTTTCTGGCAGGTTTTGGGGGAATATTCATGATTTTTAGGCGGAAGGATACGAGAGTTGAGAGGTTGGTGAGGTTGAAATGTAAGGCCAAAAATGGCATGTTAAATAATCTTTACTTCCAGTTTGTGTATCTCAAGTTCTCCATGGTGAACTTGATGCGTGCTTTTGGGCACGAGGTTGTCACGTGTTGCTCCATCTGTGGTAGAAAGCGTTCTACCCAACGAAAATTTGGGAAAAATTTAGAACCGATCTAAGAAACGAGGAAAACATTAAAGTCAATTGGGAAATCATTGGTGAGCTGTGGCCGTCTGAAACCAGATAATCTATATAGAGTTACTTCCCTTTATTCATCTAACTATGTCACCATTTATTTATAGAAGCTTAAAAATGATCTACTTTGTATTCATTGTCAGCATTTGGTAATGTCTGGATAAAGGTATGTTGTTACAAGTACATTTTTTTATTTGTTATATGGTATAAAGAACAAAGAGTTGTATTTGCTTTCCGCGTTATGTATTATATGCTGAAGTCAGTGCTGTAACGGTCTACTTATTCGAGGAATTAAAAGTGGAGCCAAAGAACTGGTTGTTAAAGGCTAAAATCTAAATATAGTAACACACTGCTTGCGTGAGATGCCCCAAACAACAAAGGGTCTATTTATTCAGGTTATGGTTAATTGTCTTCTTGAATATTTTAAAAATAAAATTTGTGATTTTCTTTAAAATAAAATATTTGGATGTTTATTTTAAAGAAAAAAAAATACTTTATTTAAAATTACGTATACATGGGACCTCGGCTTTTTGTTCCATCCGAACAACTAGACAGCTGCACCACTGACAAGGGAAACCACGCCGGAAAATTCGATGAACTTTCTCGACCAACCCGCGACCTCCAGGCAAGTGAGCCAGCGTCTTACTCACTTAGCCACTGTGGCTCCCGAGACGCAATGAAGAGAACCAATTGTGATATTTTGAGGCAACATTCTGTAGACATGACAGCGATATATTTATACCATAGTATGTAAAATAACGACGCGTTGAGATGAGATCAATGGGCAGAGAAATAGAGCGGGATAAGGAGAGCGGGGAGGGGGGCTAAGCCATGGGATTCTGGAATAGTAATCCGAAAGACCCGATAAAACGCACGCCCGGCCCTACTTCCTATCACTTACAAACTTGGCATCGAAAACACATGACTCACTGACAGACCATATGATTTATACAGAATGGATTAAGCAACTCGGGTTACCCAAAACACGCAAATAAAGGAAAAAAATAACAACCTTATAAAACCCTGTTTGATTCGGTTTGATTCGCGTATTTAATGTACCGTAATCTGTATTTGTTCATTTTATCAGGTAAATATGTTGGCAGCTATACAAGATTTTAAGAAGACCAATCTGAAGTCTACAGAAACTAAGGTCTATACAGTTGACGGTAGAGTATATAGTGAAAAGAAAGATGATTCTGGGCGTACAGTAGTGAAACAACTTGATACTGGTCAGAAAGGATTTGTTGGGGATGTACGTGGAGATTTTCAAGTTGGTGAAGTTCTACCTGGTTTGATCATAGGTATGGAGTTGAACAACCGCTCAAGCTGCTTTTATGGTCCATGACGGTTCTTTCATAATTTTGTCATTTTCTAACTAAAATTGAAACCATATCGAAGATCACTTTATAGCCTTGAGCAAATTTGCACATCAACATTGGTCGTATGTCCAGCGCTCTGTCGTCCACTATTTCTTTTGAACCCTCTACTGAGTGCTTTTGTCTTTCTATTGGAGACGACTATTGAATTTTTCCCCAATGTTAATTGCATCTTGAAGTATGGGCCTTGTTCACTTTGTAGAATATTGTGAACAGTCCTGTGCATTATTTAAATTAGTGAAACAAAGTGAATCTCAATTATGACTTTCGTTAATTAATGCTATGTTTTAGTCTTTGTTCAATTTGTAAATTATTGTGAATACTATATTTATCGTATGATCTACATGAAAATCATATACGAAGCTTATAAATATGTTTCTCCTTTAAAGCTTCGTATTATAAGACAATCTTTGTGAAAAGCACGGAAGACTTAGCTGCTTATAGGGTGTATGTTTCTTGTGTTTTAGTTAAGATATTAAACATGCATTATGCAAGAGCAAAATCTGCTTATTACAAGTCTTTCTTTGGGCATGGAATGTTATCTAAATTATCAATTAGACATTAATTAACTTATCCAGACCATAATAAACTCTCGATGTCAAGGCTAGCCTTCGATGTTGGCTGGATTAGATTCCTA